TGTCTTAAGTGTCTATAAAAAAACCTAAAAAAAAAAAAAAAAAAAAAACCTCAGCTGGAGGAATGTGAGGAGCTAATGGAATTCAAAAGGCCTCCTTACTACCCCCTTGGAGTTGAAATCCACTCTGGCTGACTGTCACAGCAGATGTAAAAAGCCAGCCACAGGCTGGAGCCCTGCTAGAAAATAGTGGGGCAATAGAATATTAATCTTTTTCTCCAAAGAAAAGTCACAAACTATGCTCCTTGGAAGATGCCTTCCTTTGCTTTAAAAAGTGCTCTAATTAACCACGTACAAGGTTAAATTCTGGCAACGTGCAGCCTCCTGACTTCAGGTGAGCAGAGCTCTCTGCAGAGATGAGACAGTGAGATGAGGTATAAGGGGAATGACTTCAGCTTTCTAAAGAGGCAGAAGCATGCATTGGGACTGAAAGTGCCCTTCTTTCCTGCTTTCCAGAGAATGTATCTCGGAAGTGCCTTTTCTTCCTCAACCTATCTTATTTGAGATTCTGTTTGCCCAAGAAATGCTCCATGCTCTCTCTCGGCTTTGCAGATCCTGCAGACTGTGTTAAGCATTATAGCACATTTACTAAGGATCTGACGGAACTGGAAAGCATTTTGGCCGCATGAAGGCATCAGCTGAGACAGAGACCTCAGACACCATTTGACTGCGACTGTTTGAGCCCCAGCTGGTGGAATAAAAACTCATTCCAAATCTGAGATAGTTTTACTGCATTTGAAGTAGAGTGAGTTTCCAAGGTGTTATAAACAAACAGTCTGATACAAATACTGCACTGTTATAGGTTAAAGCAGATGTGGTAGACAGAACTCAAGACGATACGTAGGCATGTTGCTCCTATTTCTCCACATTCCCCTTGGCCTTGAGCAGAACCAGGAACATTAACACTCCCTGGTGCGCACAGCCAACAGGCTCTAGAGGCTCCTAACTTGGGGTTCCCTTGATGTACTAGGATGTCCTTGGACAGAAGTCAAGGGGTCCATGAAGTGGAATAGAAAAAAAATATATTTAAATTGTTTTCACTACTCTTTAACTCAAATTAGTGTTTCCTTTAATCCTGCATGTAGAAATCACAGTGTTTGTACTACCTCTGATGTTCTTATCGATAGAAATAATATTTTATATCAATTAGTTGTAGATATACATCTTTAATATACCTGCAACATCTGATATACATATAATTACAAATATATATTATATATATGATTCCTTTTGGAATCCATGATATTTTACTTTATTTATTTCAACCATTCTAAAGGGGCCAGCAGGTGGTGTGGTGGTTAAGGTGCTGGATTCCCACAAGGTTGATGGTTGTTGGTGTCCCAGATCTGGCAGCTTGAACATCACAACAAACAAACAAATAAATGTTTTTTTATAAATAAATAAACAAAACATTTTAAGAAGAGGTCCATAGCTTTCACTAGGTTGTCAAAGAGGTCCATACACAAAAAGAGCTTAGGGACCCTTGTACTAGAGGGAAACCTGCTGGCAGAATGGAACAAGTCTTGTCTAAGGCTCTACCTGCACTACCCAAACTATTTCAGCTCACCATAGGAATGAAAAAACCATGGGCAGGAGTCAGAAGGACTGGGCTATGGTCTCTAACTTGTGTTATATCCTCTGGCAAGACATTCTGCCTTCTTGCTATTCATGAATACAGTGTGCCAGGTACTCTGCTAATCACTTTGCAAGCATCACTTCTTGTGACCCTTGCAGCAGCCTTCTGTGAAACCATTGTTAACAATCATTTTACAGATAAGAAAATTAAACCTTAGGACTGTTAAGTAACCTATTCAGGGTCCCACCCAGCTGGATAACAGTATTAACAGGAAATGCCTGTAAAGCCATTAGATTTCATTTTCCAGCAAACTAGGATATCATTTCCTATTCTACCTACCTCATAGTTTCTGTATGAAGCTCAACTGAATGACAGAGATGCAATACAGTTGATGTAAATAGTTCTGTTCTCTTTCCAACACAACTTATCAGTACTCTGAGATTATTATCATGGTCCATGTTGAGATTTTTTTTTAAGTATAGCAAAATTTTGAGTTTTGGAAAGAACCAGTTAAAAGATAAGGTTCTATCAAGGTGACTTTTGAATTACGTTTCATGTTTAAATGGTCACATAATTATTATGGCATAATGGCTGATAGACTACAAAAGGATCTGTATTAATTTAGCTGGATAAGGATCAAACCAAATTAACACTATGCCTGTTAGTGTTGTGCTATAGGGCTTGAACAGTTTATTCTCCTAAGCAGATGAAACATGTGCCCTTCAAACAAGCTGCAGAGTTTTAATTTACTTAGCAACTCAAATCTCCTACAAGGGTTGTACTCGAAGGGAAAAGTTGTCTACTTGGCCAACGGATAACAGACTCCAGTTCAGAGTGGCCTAAATAACAAGGCTTGACCAGTTGTCTAGGATGATAAGCCTTTCCGCTCCTATTCTCAGGAGCTCTTTAAACTGTTCTGTGTAGAGTAGGAGGAATACTCTACTCTCAGGTCTGAGGTCTCAGGACCCACTTACCTGACTGACGATGAAGAAGATGACCGTCATGGCCGCACAGGCCAAGGTAATAAGCATAAGGAACTTGAACCTGAAAATGAGCCCCTTTCAAGAAAGAGAGAAGGTTTAGTTAAATATTCCATCAGCTACCACAAATCTGTTTCTCAATACAGAAATCTATAAAAAGCTAATATTAAAGAAATCTGTAAAAACCAAATCCCTTGGAATGACAGTGAAATTATTTCACATAGTAACATTTCTCCTGCAGAGGTGAGTGTGGCTAAAAAATGTCTTGGGCCAAATATTTCCTATGTTCTTATCTCTCAAAAAACACTGGTACCAGAGCCTGGAAAATTATATTCACAACACGCCGTGAGGCTGTGAATTTCCCTGCTAAGCTGGTTATGCTTCTCTGCAAGGGTTCAAAGTTACCAAATCCAAGTTTTCTGCGGTTGTAATAAAATTCTGCTCCGGTGAACAAAAAGAAATGTGCATATTAATCAATACGAAGTGGATCTAGTTGATTTTTCTCATGTGTCATTCCAGCTCTGCAGACAGGCAAGCCTCAGAAAGTGCCTATGTTTTATGAGAGCAGGATTTAAGGGAACCTGTGTCTTGGGGAGGAATGCCTATTTTTAAAGGGCTCTTTTGTGCAGATCCAGCTGCATATTAAAACCCAGGGTTCTGCAGTTTCTGCTTCTCTTTTTTCAGAGGAATTAGGTTCATGTCTCCAAGGATAGCCACTTAGACATGAACCCAAGGGAGCCTTGAACATGTAAGGAGTTGACTGCATTAGTGATTTGAGGATGGTAAGTTTTTCCCTTTGAATGAGAAACATAGTCTATAAACAGAGATTACTGAAATCTGTCTGAGGACCTGCTGGATATTTTAGGGAAATGTGGCCTAGTAAGAGTCTGGGAATCAGATCACCTGGGCTGAACCCTGATTCTGGGCAAAGGAACCTTGGCTGAAGTCTCACCCAGGCCAAATCCCAATGAGATCACAGTGAAATCTCCCATCTAGAATGCACCTACATTCCACCCCAAAGCTGAAGAACCTGCTGAA